ACAACTATCTACTGGGGCTTTGGGGGGAAAAAATAAATAAATAAAATTATAAAAAAAAAAAGACCTAGCAATCCCACTCTTAGGTATGTACCCCACCAAAATGAAAACCTTTGTCCACACAAAAACTTGTATTTGAATGGAAAGCCACCATGCGGCCATTTCACCTGTTGCCAATTTACTGCATCCTAAGGTTAAGTTCTCCTCTTAGAATACTCATGATTTCTTAGTCTACTCACAGAACCTCATGCATCTTTTACATTGTTTTCACTGAGTTCTTGTCTTTATTCTTTTTTTTAAACATGAAGAGTGAATTACACAGATGGTGAGTATTACATGAATGCTCTATGAACAAAGTCTGAGTGTGGTACATATTTATGATTGTGCAGTACAGCAATATTATAGAGTAATTAATGAAGAGAACTGGCCCTATGATTTAGTAGTACAAGTAACATTTACCATTTAAGAAATTGTGTCCAATTTAATGGGATGTGCTGGTGTTTTCCCATATTTGTGTAGTAAATTTGGGGCTCAGCAACCTCTAAAAAAAATTTCCCATAGAGATTAACAATAATTGTTTTTGATTTCCAAAAATTCATCCCACGAGTTTTTCTGGGAAAAGTTACCCTCTTAAAGCAGGGAAATAATGTAAGAAATTCTATCCTTGTGTACTGACCTAACAGTGTAAATCCCAAGTAAGACCTGCTCTGCCGGACACTCTGTGGTTTGACATCTGACCATGAAGGCAGAGACTGTCCCATCAAATAACTGACTAGGTAGAAGTGAACATCAGAGAGGGTTCTTGAGAGAAAGAGAGAAAGAGAGAGCGAGAGAAGGGTACTTACAGGGACTCCTCTCTATCCGAACTGTTTGAAGAGTGGAATTCTTCTTGGAATTAGGCTTGGAGTTGATGAGCAACCTGTCCCATATACCTGAAAACACAAACACATTTAATTTACTATAGCATAAAGAAACAGGAGCCCATCACAGCAGGCTTTCCATGACCACTCTCAACTCTTGACCATTCCTCACTTCCCAAAAGGCTTTGAAAAAAAGAAGCACTCCAAGTTCCATTAGAACATTTTAGCTCTTTACGTACATCCATCTCCCCAGTCTTTTTTTTTTTCTTGTGAGGAAGATTAGCCCTGAGCTAACATCTGTTGCCAATCCTCCTCTTTTTGCTGAGGAAGACTGGCCCTGGGATAACATCTGTGCCCATCTTCCTCTACTTTATATGGGACGCCGCCACAGCATGGCTTGACGAGTGGTGCATCGGCTTGTGCCTGGGGTCCGGGCACTGGGCTGCTGCAGCGGAGGGCGCACACTCAACCGCTACCCCACCAGGCCGGCCCCCCATCTCCCCTTTCTTAAGCCTGTCTCATACATCTGTGTCACCAACGCACTAAACTGCACCTTCTGATCTAGATTGGAAAGCCAACAGTCACTAATGCAGGTCTGCAATGACAGAGCAGAGGAAGCAGTACAGAATACGATAACGGTTAAGTGACTGAAATGGTTACCACCTGCATTATATTGGGCAAATTACCTAACCTCTTTGAACATTCGTTTCTTCACCTCTAGAACATTCCTGCCTGGTTAGTTCCCCTTCAGCAAAGATGTCCAACAGCCCTTTGGAGAAATTCTGTCCCCCAACTCCACCTTTTCAGACTCATCATTCACTCCTCCTCAAATCAACCCAACTCTCCAGCCCATCAGAACTCAGAGAACAAGACTCGTCTTTCAAAACTCAAAGCTTTGCACACCTCCTTTCCAAAACCTGCAAAATCTTTTCACTCTGGTACAAAAATCCTGTCCACTCACAAAGCAGAGCTCAACAAACATTCGTTTCTTACGACTTGAGGCCTAGCAATCGGATTACTGTAAAGAGCACGGATTCTGGAGCCAGACTAATGGGATTCAAATCTCAATTTTGCCACTTTCCAGCCACACGATCTCAGGCAAGTCACTTATCTGTATGATACACCATGACTCAGTTTCCTCATCTATAAAATGGAGATAACACAACCTTCTGCACAGGGTTATTGTGAGGATTAAATTAGTTAATTCCTGGAGGATACTAAGCACTACACAAGCTCTGGCTATTATTATCATAACTCCTTTGGATGCTCTGGGTTCTCACAGAACCTTTTCTTCAAGCGAACACTCACTGAGAATATGCCCAAGCCCTCAGGCGCATTCTCCTTCTCACAAAAATTCTATAGGTACTACCAGCTCCATTTTCCACATGTGAACACTGAGGCTTTGAGAAGGTAAACAACTCTCCCAAAGGCCCACAGCTAATTACTTGTGGAGCCGGGATTCGAACCGATGCTTTTAAATTCTCTATTATAGTGTCTGAAATCCTATGTGGATTTCCTGGACCCATGTCTCCCTCTACAAGCGAGCGACACTAAAGGCCACTGGTTCTGTGCGCAGTTGGGGGGGAGGGGAGTTAATCCATAATATTCGCCCCCCTCTACTGGCCAAGTGCTTGGACCCAGACCGCCGACCCTAAGGCCTTCCCTTTGGGAGAGGTGTCGTGCAGC